CCCAAAGCTCGATCTCGTAAGTCCAAATAGGCCTTATTATAGTAATATATATGAGTCTTTTGTAAATAGTTGGCAGCTTAGAGCGTTTGTCTAGTAAGTGCTGGGAGTAGTCGGAAACGTCGGGCGGTTTCTAGTCGTTTCAGTCTGGTATGGGGGTTCCAAGTGAGTCGTTTGTCAAGGTGGAGTCCTAGGTATCGGATTTGATCAACAGGGATAAGTGGGGTATTGTTAAAGGATACTGTAGCACAGGAAGTCATAGGTTTACGACGAAATAGTAAGTATTAAATCAACTTTGAGAAAAGTTTTCCAATTAATTTTTAAAAACATACTTAGGATGTAAACAAAAATAATCTTATTATTTTTAGCATATGATGTTTACCTAGCATTAATTTATTTGTTTTTCTTATAGAATGCTAATAAATATATCGGTTTGATTAAACAATAGTTATAATCCAAATATGGATCCTAACCTCATTGTGATCGAATACAAATCTTGGTTGCGTAGTTGTGAATTCTTTCTGCAATCTAAATGGCCTATCAAAACTCTTAACATCTACGTCAGCGATGACCTGGTTAAAGTGCAAGTTAACGGAAATGAGAAGTTAGTTTTAAATATGACAGGATGGAATATCATAAACGGAAGCACTTCAAGTATACACGTGACTCAAAACAATGGTTTGAACTTCAAAGTAAGGACAAAATACCTCGATGATGATTCTTCCGATATAGAGGCATTCTTCCCGTTTATGTCCAATTACAAATTATCACTGAATACTCATAAACTTCCTTTCGAAGAGAAAGTACCAGTGGATTTTTATTGTAGGGAATGTTCGAAGAAAGTGACAGAGAAACCTCTCATCTTCAATAAAATAGTCAAAGACAAGTCATCTTTAGACATTATACAAGACGCCTGTTGTGCCGGTCCGTCATATATACATTTTCATAATTCATTAATTCCTGGTGCGAATAAAAACGCTATTATACGTTGTGATAATTGCCGAAGTTGGTTGGGATGTGTAGACAACACTTTGGTATATTTTTGGTACACCGGTATATCGTTCGATGCCATGAAATCATCAGAAACAGAAGACAATTCAGCATTAAATGATTTCATATCCACAACCAGGTATTTAGTCCACAAATCGAATTTCGAAATCAATAAAATTATTTTATCGTGTCAAGTAAACGATGATCTGAAATGTCACATCCTAATTCGAATAATTGAGAAATCGATGGTTTTGTTGAAACCGGAAGAATCTTCTGAACAAGAAATTTTTTTAAAAGATGAACAGGTCTTAAAGTTGGCTTACAGTTTAGAGGAAAACGATTCCATTAATCTTAAAAAATGGAGGGACACTTACAGAGCTGAGGAATGCCTCATATCTTTACAAATGTGGAAAAGTGGTTTAAAATATTTACAAGAAATGAGCAAAATTGTTCCAAACGATTTTAAAATATCTTCTCAAAGCCTTGTTTCCTACATGAAAAATGAGAAGTAGAAATAAAATTTTAATAAAATAACGAAAAAAAGTTTTTTTATTATAAAGCTAATTTTAGACTGTTTAAAATGTTCAGGATTTTTTTACCATTGACAGTCTCTTTTTTTATTTACAACTTTATTTGTAGAGAAGCTTTCGGGTTCCATTCACCATATTCATCTCTATAATTATAATACTCCAATTAGTATATAACCACAAAAGTACCCTTAAACCTAACTCAAAAGCAGTCAGGTAGTATCCTTGGTCCTATCCTTTACACAGTTTATACAGCTAACATCCTAACCCATCCTACAATGTCATCACCACCTATGCCGATGACATATGTATCCTATCTGTTAATAATGGTCCATCAACTGCATCCCAAACCCTCCAATCACATATCACAAACCTTGAAGAATGGGGTAAAAACTGGAGAATTAAAATAAATTCCAATAAATCCCATCAAATTACCTTTATCCTGCGTTGCAAATCCATGACCTCCTGTCCTACAGTATCCTTTAATAATTCCCCACTTATCCCAGTTGAACAAATCCGTTACCTAGGACTCCACTTGGACAAATGACTCACATGAAATCCTCATAAAAGACTGAAACGACAAGAAACAGCTCAACGTTTCCGACTAATCCAACACTTACTGGACAAACGCTCTAAGCTTTCAAACAATTACAAACGCCTCATATATATGACAATAATAAGACCTATTTGGACTTACGGAATTTAGCTTTGGGGCTCCACTAAACCATCGAATTCCTTTCATATTACAATCCAAAATTCTCAACGCTTCTTACTTTGTCACAAATAAAATCATCCATAAAGACCTTAATGTTCCATATGTTTTTGATTTGGCCTAATCTTACTTCCTCCTCGAGCCCTGATAACCCTCCGAGGTGTCTGAAAAGAAGATGGCCTCGTGATCTACTTATGTAAATATATTATTAGAGTGCTACCAATGGGTAGTCTCATAATATTTTCAATAAGCATTTTCATGTGATTGTATTATTACTGTGTGCACATTTACTAGTTGTATTTTTTTTTTTATAATACAGTTGTAAATATCAATGAATAAAAAAAAAAAAAAAAGAAAAGCAGTTACCACTTTATCAAACCATACAAAAAACCACAGACATAAAATAGATTTTGAAAATATTAAAATACTTCATAAATCAACCACCGATCAAACTTAAAAAATTTAGAATCCATTTATAAAACGAAAAAAATGTGTGCTAAATTCAGAACAGGAAGCAGCCCACATTCCACAACATTATTCACAAACAATATCCATCCATAAAAATTCAAATAATAGTAAATTAAATAAGGTAGAGTAACTTTAGTTACCACATAGTTGGGATAATATAGAGGGTGCTGGCAGTAAATCCTCAGCACTCAATAAGATGGTGTTCGACAAAGAGGAGTCCTATTCTCGGAGAAAGCTGACATGAGACAAAGAACAAGAACAATGTTCTTATCATTTATGTTTTCAAATAGACAAAACTAATAAAAGGATGATCTGATAATAATTGCATGACATTTTAAATAATTATTTAATACATATATTGTCAATGTTATTAGTTAACTGTTAATTTATACTAATTGGAGTATTATAATCATAGAGATGAATATGGTGCATGGACACCGAAAGCTTCTTTACAAATAAAGTTTTAAATCAACAAAGAGGCTGTCAATGGTAAAAAAAATCCTGAACTCTTAACTTTTTTTTATTTTAATTTACTTTTTGAAGTATTTCTTTAGCCTAGTTTTGCACTTTTTTTGTAAAGCATGAATAGATTGATTCGTAAGATCTCTGATTTGTATTGCTCGAGTATAGTCAGCTGGAGTCTGATTAAAGTATTTTTGCACATGGATTAAAATATCTCAAAAACTAAAAATCGGATCTGCATATTGTTAGAAAAAAAAATTTTCACCATTTTATCCTCTTTATAATGAGCAATTGTCCAAAATTTTATCTTAACGCGACACTATAGTGAGCAGAGAGAGTGAAAAAGGGAAAAATAATGTCGAAAACTAAATGATAACCAGTTTTATGGAAGATATTGATTAAAATATCTCAGAAACTAAAAATCAGACATGCATACTATAAGCGAGGAAAATCCTCTTTATAATGAGCTATTATTTATAATTCATATTTCATATTATTAATCTCGCCTTGTTGATGTTTACATTTCTATTGTGTGGTCTAAAGCTTAGTTTTGGTCTAAAGCTTAGTTAAAACTTACCTTAGTTTTGTTTTATCTATTAGGACCATTGCAGGCTATTGTAAAACTGATTTATTGTAAAACTTTTTTTTTCTGGAGGGTGTTGCGGAGAAAATGAAGTTTAAATATTATTCCATTATTACAAAAAAAAAAATTATCATTAAGGGTATCTTTAATTCTTTTTTATTTATATATATATATATATATATTATTATTCCCTTCTTTGGCTCCTGCCTACTTGGGATAACAGTGCCAACAAAATTTTGTTCTAGTCCAGGCAATTTCTTCAAAGCACAGATCTGGAAGGGGGACTCAACTTTTTAGGAATTAAAAAATAAAAATAAACTATTAATTTAATTTTAAATAATGATTTAATATTAATATTTTAAAAAATATAATGTATTTATTTTTGTTGATTATGTGTTCTGTTGACAATTTAAGATTTTATATTGATGTTGACAATTGACATTATTTTAATTGTTTGATTTTTTTATGAAATATTATTTGTAAGTTGCTTATACTTATGTTTTATTTTTTTAACCCCCATACCAGACTGAAACGACTAGAAACCACCCGACGTTTTCGACTACTGCAGCACTTACTAGACAAATGCTCTAAGCTTTCAATCAATTACAATATATACAGACTCGTATATATGACAATAATAAGACCTGTTTGGACTTACGGAATTGAGCTTTGGGGCTCCACTAAACCATCGAATTCCTCTCGTATCCAATCCTTACAATCCAAAATCCTTCATAAAATCCTCAGCGCTCCTTGCTTTGTCACAAATAAAATTGTCCATAAAGCCCTTAATGTTCCATATATTTCCGATTTGGCCCAATCCAGATACCTATCCTTCCATAACAAACTACAGAACCATCCAAACCCCCTCGTTTCAAACCTTGCTTCCTCCTCGATCCCTGATAACCCTCTGAGGAGTATGAAAAGAAGATGGTCTCGGAACCTTCTAATATATAACTTTAATTTGAGTTCTACCAATGGGTAGTTTCTCTTCATGTTGTACATGTCATGTTACCAATGTCACATTTACTTGTTGTATTTTTCATGTAATACAGTTGTAAATTTCATTAAAATAAAAATAAAAATAAAATGTTTATAATATTTATAATGTAGAATAAAAATTTTAAGAAATTGTAATACTATAAGAATAATAATTTTTGTAATACAGAGATAGGCTGTATTTCTTCACTCAAAACAAATAAATATTAAATAAAAAATAAATAAAAATACCAGCTTCTGAAATATTTTTGACCATTTTCGGCAGGTAACAAAGCTGTTTGGAGTGAATTATGAGGTATGCAGTAGCAGAACTACTCCATGCATGTCTCAAGGACCGAGCAATCCAGACTCTACTGAGTTGGAGTGGGGTATCGTCGAGAACAGCTCCATCGTACCGTCCTACTCGGAGGCCCTTCTCATGGACACCAGGCATCGCCGAGATAGTGGACACTCCGCCCTTTATTATTCTAGCCCTCTGGCTGAAACCTGTCCTTCTGATCCCTTTCAGGTACTGTTAACCTCTCCACAACAAGCTCCTTTAAAAAACATAGTTAATGAAAAAACATTATACTTACTAAATGAATATGAATGCCTTATTACTCTAATGAAGACTGATAACACAGGAATGCCCAACCAAAGGCATTCCTGGGAGTTCAGAATCGGCATGTAATTCCACAAGATTTTTAACTTGCTTATCCTAAATTTTATTTTTAAAAAAAGAACCAGATTCTTATCATTGTATATTATACATGATATGTTTAATATAAGTAGCAAAATTACTATCTCACTAATAATAATTTGGTTGTAATTATAATAATAATCATCATCATCATCCAATGGCGCAATGGTTCTTGTAGAACCTTGACATCCTCTACTATCTTCCTCCAAATCAATCTGTCTTCGGCCGCTCTTCTCCATCTGCATATACCCAGGCTCCTTAGATCATTTTCGACGTTTTCTAGCCAATGTTTTCTAGGGCTGCCTCTTTTCCTTCTTCCATTCAGATGTCCCTCCATCATTATTTTAGGGATCCTACCATGTCCCATTCTTTGCACATGACCCAACCATCTCATTTCCCTCTTTGTAGTGGATATAATGTCTGGGGTATTATATATCTTCTTCAGGTCGTCATTTGCCTTCATACACCATAGATTTCCTTCTTTGGTTAAATTCTGCAAGGATTTTTCTTTCCCACCTCTTTGTTGAGTGTGAGTGTCCAGCACTCGCTTATATATAAAACTACAGGTTGCAGGATTATCTTATATAATCTTATTTTGAAAACTCTTGGTATATCACGATTTCGAAAAAATTTTCTTATGAACCAATAACACTTATCACTAGCTGCGATCCTTGCATTTATTTCTCCTCTTATGTAGTTATTCTCAGGGATAACAGTGGCTAGATACCTAATTTGTGGTACTCTTTCGAAACGATGTCCAGCTCCCTCGATATGTCTAGTGACTTTCATCTATCTCGTTGTTAACACATTTTTAATTTCATCTTTATTTATCGCCAGTCCTGATCTTTTTGCAGCTTCTTCACAATCCTCGAAGGCTCCTAAGAGTGCATTGGATGTTCTTCCTGTAATGACTACGTCATTCACAAATGGTAGGTGTTAAGTCATTCTATCATACATACACCCGCCTGACTTTGTGCGGATCGATCTCATGACTACTTCTAACACCAAATTGAACAATACTGGGGAAAGAGGATCACCCTATTTACACCCTTCTGGATTTAAAATTCTTTCGATAACTCACCTTCAATTTTCACCACACCTTTGCTGTCCTGCAGAGTCATCATAACAAGCCTGATAAGCTTTGGCGGACATCCAAAAACTTTTAATCTTTTATACGTATAATTTCTCTCTATACTGTCAAAGGCCTGTTTTTAGTCAATAAAAAGGTGATGTTGATCGACATTCCACTCATGGCAATTTTCAAGCATAACTCTCATGCAAAGATGTGGTCTATTTTAGATCTTCCTGGGCGAAATCCACATGAGTACTGTCCTAACATTTCTTCGGCTTTCTCCACAACCCGTTTCATCAACAATGTTGATAGAACCTTATCCACAGTGCACAATAACAAAATGCCTCTATTAAGAGAGAAATATTTTGGGCAGCGGACCTGTTCTCCAGAAGAATTATTTGGTTTCTTAAAGGGTTCTAACTGGAAAGCCTTAAGCAATTATGTACAGCAGGCCAAATTGCAAAGATCTCAATTAGTCAGATAGTAAACTATTGATACAATATCATGTTTATTTATTGTAACGTTTGTTTTATTGTTATATTGTATTTGATGAATATTATTATTGTTGAATTTAAATTTCTTATTTATTGGAATTGTATGTATGAATTAATGTTTGTTTTTTGAAAACTCTATTTAAACAAATGAGATGGTGAAAAAGAAAATTGGTAGAATGGATGTATAAAAACATAATAATACTTTAGATATATTATTGCTCATTTATTTCAGTTATAAATGTGATGAATATTTATTATTAATTACACACAGACCTCGACAGACTGAATTTTCCATTGTCTATGTGTTGTTGCTTATATATATACATATATTTTACTTTGTGTAATTTTTTAAAAAGTTTAACAAACACGTTTTCATTCATTCATTCAACAAAATGCCTCTATAGTTTTGGCAATCCAGTTTGTCTCCTTTTTTATGAATTGGTAGAACAACAGCCACCTTCCATTCTTCTGTCATTAGCCCCTTCATCCAAATTTCCGATATCAATTCATATATAATAATAGCTTGTAATAATAACTAGATTATAATTGGAAAAATGTCAACCACGCAGCCTTACGTTTCTAAATAATCCATCAACATTTCGCCTATTCATGCATCATCAAGACCGAGAAGAAAACTAGAAAACTAACCCAAGAACACATTACACCTTACATCCAACCACATACTTAAAGAGTATGATACACCAAAGTATTGTTACACTGATAATACTTATAGAAAACAGTTGGAAGTCATGGAGTGATCTAATATTCAGTTTTTCTGTTCTACATTGATGATGCCTTAATAGGCGAAACATTGGCGAGTTATTTTCTTATTTGTCTGCATTTTAGAGACTCTTTGTGAATTTTTACCAGAGGTCGAATGAAACAGTTTGAAACAATAAAAACTATTACTTTTATTATTACGTCATTTCAAAACAGTTAATGGTTTCTTAACTTTTATTTTATCTGTTATATTTTGTATAACAGTTTTTATAAATCATTGACATGAATAGGTTTTAGTGAAAAAAAATAATACGCTTTTATGTTTTTATTAATAGAAAATATAATTATCAGTATATGTACATAACTACATAAAACATTATAATAATTTTCTTATGAAATGGTACACAAGATGTGGAACAAAATATTGGGTATTAAGTTAACTCAAAAACATTAAAGCTTTTATTTTTCTAATAAAACAATTCTGATTAACAAATATAATTTTGCATTGTATAATGTTCAACAAAGGAAAACTTAAAATATTTTTCAGGAGCATTGGAATTTATTAGTTTTCCACACTGAGTACTGAGAAGTGTAATAATTATGAACTTCCTTTAGAAAATTTGTTAATTTTTGTTTGCTTATAAATTTAATTTTAAAAGGAATAAGTAAAATTTTAACAAATACTTTTTTGAGTTAGATCTTTTATTTACCTCTTATTTATAAAAGTTTTTTTTCAAACAGTTAAAGTTGAACTCATTTGTAAAAAAGAAAAAAATAATTTTTAGGGCGAACCTCCACCTTATGAGGAAGCGTTGAGGTTTCCAGCACTGAATAGACTTCGACGTTCCCTCACTGACAGGGGAGACTTGATGGGCAGGCGGAGATCGTCCGATCATCACTTCATCAGAGCTCCTGGGCGACCAAGAACACTCATCACGATGGAAACTAGCCTTTAATCACTGTGTCCTCCTTGTTTTCTACTTTGGCATACCATTTTTTAATATATATAAATATAAATTTAAATGTTAACCAAAAATTGGGACATTCGATACAGACTGACATCAAATTATTAAATATTATTTCTCAAATGAATTACTCGGCTGAGTTCATAAATTGGTCCTGAAGACAACTTGAAAAATATATTATTTATATATTTTATGATACTTATGGTTAAACCTATTTAATATTGATGCTATTCATGCTCAAGATAAAACTTAAATTGTGTTATTGCCTGATATAAATAATTCAATTGATAGCTTAATACAATTTGCATTGCAAATTTTGATCTCTTTCTAAGGCGTAAGTTAATTCTTCATTTATTATATTGAAAAGAAAAAAAAGCAACTGTAAATTTGTAAAAACTAACTATATTGTAATTATGCAAGTTTTTTTTTTATATTTAATGGGTAATGAGTGAAGAGTTAATTTAAATGAATATTTACTTAATTTAATGTCTTCACAAAGCATTTTCAAAGAAAAATACACCCTTCCAAGTTAATCAATTCATTTAAATGGACGATGTTTCAATCCTGTTGGTTCATCACATCTCATCCTTATCATTAATGAGTTTAATGATTGTCCAAATTTTAAGAAAAAGTTTTTCGTCACAATCTATGTTTGGAAAATGTATTTGTATTAATTAAAATGCTAGTCAGTGTGCAATTATATCTGTTACATTATACACTGCAGAGCAGTGTATCAATCTGTATTGCTTGGACTGGACTTCACTACTTAGGGATATACAATATATGACCAATTAAAAATTACCAAACATAAAAATTGAGAGTGAATCTGTAACAGATAAAATTTTTTGTTAAGTACCTCTCATAAATATTACCATCCATTTTGTTAGAATCCATATTTTGGAGCAGCCATGCCACCAAAAAGAGTTATACATCTTTAATAATAAGTTAGGTGTTGTCTTGTTTTTATAAGTGAATTAAAATTGATTTATCGATTACTAAAAATGTTCATGCTTTAATTATTTTTTATGAACATACAGATTACCAACATGAAATTTATAAAAGATGTGTATAAATATTTTTAATAAATGCTGGGATAAAAGCAGAAATAAGAAAATAAAAAAGATCGATGGTTACAAATTAAATTTTCTTGCTGATTGTCTAAGAAGAGAATCTGATGGAAATTATTTCTAAATAACTGATAATGAGAGTAAAACATCAGAAAAAGATGTTGAATTTATCTTTTCAACATTTCTTTTTAAATAAAATTCTTTCATGAATTTAATTTTTAAATAAAAAAACATCAGTATTGGAAAAGTGCGTATGCCCCTTTTTTGAATCACCAATTTGGAAAACTAATTTGATAGGAATGTATATAGTTAAGTATATGATCCAATGTAATTTATTTAAAGGTACTGATTTCCTGTATATATTAAAAGATATTCGTTAGTCATGTAAGTGTAGCAACTGTGCTAAATTATGTAACTTGATTAAGCTGTCAATTAAAATGCACAAATTTCTGAAAGATGCACTCACTATTCACATTTAATGATTTACACCACTAGCACTAGTAATCATAAAAAAATTAAATAATAAAAAAAAATCTGATGAAAACTGTTTTATTTATTGAATACTTTGAAGAAAATTTTATGTGACTCCCAAAGCTACAATATTAGAAAAAAAAATGTATACATATGTGATGAAGCTTAATATTGTCAGAAATAAATGTTAAACAAACATTGTAATAACAGATATATCATTTATTTTTTATTTTGTTTAGTTTATCTAAAATCAGTTTTAACTAAAACTTGGTTCTTCAGTAGTGTATTTTTTATGCATAGACATAATTAGTACAAAATACACAAAAAGGTATAAAAAAATATTTATTGAGAATGATGAAATTGCTATGTGTTGGACCTATAAAATATTTATAAAAGGTACCTTTTATCTTCTACTTATAAACAAAAAAAAAGGTTTAATAAAATGTGAGACTATTAGTTACAAAACTACCTCAATCCACTTTCAAAAATTTTATAGAGACTTGATATAATCATTATGCCCTATTTCAGGGCATAGAGCCCTTCGCTATGTCCCACAGGACATGACTTGTGATGAAACAAAAGAGACTTTCTCTATAAATGACTCAGTTACGAACGAGCATTTTAAGAGAAACAACTCATGTAATAAATGATGTGATAACCTCTAGTTGGTCTGATTAATTTTTTTTTTTCCATCTCTTCGTCCCCTTTTAGTCTATACGGGGATTTTCATGGTCCGGGGGAGAGGGTAGGGGATTAATGCCCAAGTTAAAAGCTCCCTTGTCACCGGGACACGATCTTTTAATTATTTTATATCTTGTAAACTTCGGTTTATCATCAGATTAACAGGCAAGGTGTGTTAGTTTGTGTGATTTAATAAATTTCATGTTTTTAAAATAGTTTTATAACATTTTACCATGTAATCAAAGATACTTTCATGGGCCGTAGTTTGAACTATTCCCCACTATTCCCTACTCTATTTGTTCAATGTAACTCCAAAAGTTGTTGTTTTGGATTTAGGGGCAAAAAACTGCTGACGGTTATCATTGCCCTCAAATTGTACTGGTTGATTTATTTTTCAATCATAAAACTACTATTATAAAATTAAATATGTTTTAAAAAATAATAATAATAAAAAAAAATATATATATATATATATAAATGACTATCGAGAAGAGAAAGAAAAGAGAGAAAAAATTATAGAGTAAATAGATATTAAGTCAATATATCGCAAATTTCTGAGAAAATATAATATAGTTCAGATTAGTTGAATTAGCCCTATATTCTTAAAGAATTGAATAGTACTATCGATACGTTGGTCGTTATCTGTTAGTGCCTCACAGAGCTGACGAGGTACACCACGTCTTTCCATCTCTCTCCTGTAGCGAGGACACTCCTCAAAGATATTGCTCACTGTGAGAGCCACTTTACAGAGTTGACACTGAGGGGGATCTTCCCTTGCCATCAGGTAGCCATGGGTCAACCGACAATGTCCAATTCTGAGGTGTGTGGTGACTAATTCCTCTCTTCTACGCTTTCTGGAGGACGAGGCCACTCCAAAAGTTTGATCCTATTTATATGCCTAATTGAGATAGTTTTGGCCTATACGAGTTTGCTAGTGCATTGAAATTTTGTAAAAAACATTTTATAAAAAAAGTGAATTGAGGTTTGGTTTTGAAACTAATTGCCTTACTTAATCATTTTAAAGCTAATATCATTTTTATATTTTATGAATGAGCGATATGTGTATACCTTCTTCTTTCACCTATATCTTATTCTTTCATTGCTAATATTCTTTAACATAATGTTTTAATTGAATCCTGAAAGAATTAGTCTTAATTTGTGCATTTATTTTAGTATAAATTTTAAAAGTTATTTATTTAGATATAATTTTTAAAGAAGCAAAAAAAAAAAATTGAACAACATTGAAGGAAATCCTTCCAAGAAAAAGTGAGGTTGCAAAAATGGCATTAAAGTAATAAATACCTATCATACGTTCAGTTAAAATATATTTGTTATATAAATAATGCTGGTTATTTTTCTTGTATAAAACAAACTATATTTCATGAACATGTATTAAGATAATCATTGATATTTTATAAAATTCTAGCTCAAAAGCATCTTGATATATTTGCCGTCCAAATATGGAATGTTTGATGATTAGAATGGAGATTGATTAGGCATCGCATTATGGCATATATTGCTATTTGCTATTTATAGCAATTATAAGCATTTTGAAACAATGTAAATTTTTTTTTTTTTAAAGTTGAATTACCTATAAATAGATATAAAATGGTTCACTTTTTAGTTTTTTCACTCCTCAGTTGCTCTTAAGAAATGTGGGTTATTAATACTATTAAAATTATATTGCAAAATATAAATGCATTATATAAAACTGTATATATATATATATATATATATATATATATATTCTTTCATAAAAAATAAGTTATTATTGATTTCATATATTTGAGTTATAACATATTTTTTTATAATTAATTAATAACCTTCTTTTGGTTGAAATCATACTAAAACTAGGCTACTGACCTCTCTTAAAACTGATAAAAAGGTCAAATAAACCACAGGATGGAAAAAAAAGTTGGATAAATACAGATATAGATTTTTTATTTACTTATATTTTTTTTTTTTAATTTGAGAAACACTATATTTTTATCTCTTACACTTAGATTTCCACAATTTGGCCGTGTGCATTTAGAGGAATATATCAAATTAAAATTAAACTTTTTTTTTATCAAAAAAGATGTTTTCTTAAAGCACATTACAAATAATACAGGGCTCGGAATAAACAAAATGTTTACTAAATTACTCTTACACTGAAGTGACATTTGCTAGTTACTGAGGTTGCTACAGATCTTAAGAAAATATTCCTTGACTTCTCTTGTTCAAATTTCTAGTTTTTCCAGTGTGGTAACACTCAGATTTTTATTTTAATCATTGGGATTAAAATTTGTCTAGCACTCATGGGGAGACAGAAAAAATATAGTTTGAATTTTATTTTACCACTAATATTTATTTTATATTAATTAAAATACAAGACAAATTAACAGGTGTGAAATAACAATGTTGTTAAAATGATCTGGAACAATAAATTAATTGTGTTCATGAGGTGACATAAACTTCAGTAGATTTCTTGTAATAAATCACTCACTGGGGTTTAGATGCGATCATTTAGTCTCTAGAGGATACGATAGTCATGAGAGTTAAGGCATCATGTCCTTAGCAACTTCGAGCATCGGTTCCAACTAGACCTGAGTGGGTTGAAATTTATTTCATTCATGAGATACCCATGGAATGAATCTCTACCATCTCACTATGGTTAAAATAGTGATATTACTTGTATTAATGAGTGATTTATGTCATTAGACTAGGATAATATAAATAAATGGGAAACAATAATAATCTTTTATGTCAGTTCTGAATTTTTGGGATTCCTAGTAGTCCATAAATATCTCCATCAGTATCAATATGATTTTATACAAAACGATTGAATCATAATTTAAAACAATATAAGCAATCCAATTCTGTGACTTTTCCTGGATTTTTATACCGATTCGAAATTTCCTGATTTTTTGAGGTAATGCTGGAATTTCCAGGTCTGTAGCAACCCTGAGTTACATATATTTTGTGCTTATGTTACATTTTTTTTTTTTTATATAAATCAAAATAAAACTTTTATGCTCTGAATGAAACAACTTCCTAATGCATTATCTGGGTTTTCCATTACAACAATTAAATAATTTTTGAAAAATATATGACACTAATTAACTTTTATCAGTTTCTTCTCTTAATTAAAAAATAAAAAAAAAACATTTTATGATGTTATAAGATATTGTTTTTATGTATTAAATGTACAATCTTCATTTCATTAAATATTTGATTTTTTATAAATTAAATTTAATGTAAACTAAACCTTTATTAATATTTATTGTGCAAACCATGTTTTTAATTATTCTTTTTATTAAATTTTAGTTTGCAACCTAAAATATTAATTTTTAGTAAATGTGATAATATAAATTTTGTTATTATTTATCATTTAATATATAAAGTTTATCCATGTTAATTCAATTATTCAAGGTTTCAAAACTAAATTAATAGTTAGATCAAATTTTTATTTTATTTATTTTTATACTAAACTTTTCGTTACATAATAACTTCATATAAGAACAACTTATTACTTTGAAATCCAGTTGAAATTTATTTTATTTAAATACATTCTATTCAAAGGGAAATGACTGATGAAAGTTGATAAGTATTTAACATAATCTGTTCTATCAAATTCAGAAAAATTCAAATTTATTTATTTTTTTTAATTTTACTTAAATGTATTTTATAACCTTCACTTTTAGTAACAAATAAAATATAATTATTTCATGATAAATTTTTATTATTAAAACAATAATTTTTCTTTGTGTATTAAAAATAAAAATAACTCCTTTCTGAAAACTCGTAAGTATCATAATGCTCAAATATATAGGTGTTTTAAAATTATAGGAGGGAAATAAGACATTTAACTGTTTGATTTATTATATCTAATGATCTTAAAAGTTTATACTTATTTAGCATTTGGAGTTAAGGATAAAAGATATAATATATTTAACCATAATTGATCTTTGCTACCGAGTTTTTCTGAGAGTGAAAAATTTAAAGAAGAAATAAGTGAAATATAAAAAGGCAGTGATCTATATGTAAGCTAATTTGGCTGGCAGCGCTCATTCTTCCCGTCTATCATCTGATCTCGAGCTAGAACTATATTTGTATAAATATAATGCCTTAGCTAGTTAAATTCTCTAAAATTTGAGAATAGAGGGGCCACTTAGAGATTTTTGTCTTGCACAAATTGAATTTCTTTATAGCAAACATAGTAAATAAATTTCCTTTCGCCTCAATTTTCTGGGCATTATGCATTGAACATTTCTTTTTATTTTAATTACCACGGAAACAAGTTTGATTATATTACGTTTCATAGTTCATAAAATGTCATTAAAACCTAATTATTCTAGATTCTGATTTGATTTCATGTAAATTGTATGAAATTCAATCAGCTGTTATAAAAAATCAGCTGATTTTTAAAAATATCTGATTCTTTCATTCTTTGGTAATTAAAATAAACATACTTTTAATAAAATCGTGGTATTTTGCAATACTGTATTATTTTTTAAAAGTCTATAGTTGAATTGATATTATTATATATTATATAGTTATTAAGAAGCTTTATGATGAAGTAAAATGTCTACCATTTGTATTGTACAAAACCATACCTGATAAATAAAATTTTAAAACATGACATGCTTGATAGGTGTGTATTTATTAATATTAGCTATAAAAAATTATGGAATTAACAAATGCAAAAACTATAAAGTTATGTTATAAATAAAATTACATTAACATGTTACCTTATTTGTAATTTAAATAATAAGAACATTGGTTTTAATTATGAACTGTTTTAAATTAAAAAAAAAAAAAAAGAAAAGGCATGAATAAATGCAACACTATTACTATATTGATATTCATAAATAAATAATACTGAATATATATATATATATATTTCTAAACTTGAAAAATTGTAAATATGATTTGATCGTAAGTATCTATGAATTAAAGAAGAAAGATTTTCATTTAAATAAAATTGTTTTGAAATCATTTTGGCAACTTTA